ATTGCGGTGGCTTGCTTCTCTTGCTGCGGAGCACGGGCTCGAGGCGCGCGGGCTTCAGTAGTTGTGGTGTGCGGGCTCAGTAGTTGTAGCGCACGGGCTTAGTTGCTCCGCGGCATGGGGGAATCTTCCCAGACCAGGGCTCGAACCCGTGTCCTCTGCATTGGCAGGCGGATTCTTAACCACTGTGCCAACACGGAAGTCCTCACGTATAACTTTTGATCTAGATCATATAATCATTCCTCTCAATTAAATTCACTCACTTTTCATTCTACGATTTCTGATGCACGTCAGAGGAGTAAAGCAGCAGCTGCTGACGTGCGGTATCAAGAGCAGAAATACTTCACAAATAGAAACTAATGCCAGCTTCGTATCAGTGTCAGATACTTCAAGTAGAAAATCAGCCAATTCCAATAATAATTAAAAATTTTCCACCCAATTCATGGAATCAGAGTCAAGCTTTTGGAAGTTCTTTTTGTTGAAGGTGACACTACTGTGAATGGTATTTTGAATTCAGTTATAAAGTTCAACAATGAAGATAAACATGTTTTTGTAATGGCCGTATATATACTTACAAATCTTCGTGCATCACAGTGTTTGTTAAAAATAATCTTATTAAAGTAAAAACCAACCGTGGTTCTCAAACAAGTGTGCATCAGAATTACCTGAAGCGCTGCTTAAAACAAATTGCAGGGCCCCACCCACTAGAGTTTCTGATTTAGTAGGTCAAGCATGAGGCACAGTAATTTGCATTTCTAACAAGTTCCCCAACGATGCTGATGCCGCCGGCCCTGAGACCACATTTTGAGAGCAACTGGCTTACAATTTCACTGTTAGAAGCTCTCTATCACTATGTAATTCAATTCATACAGTATAGACCAGGAGTCTGCAAACTATTGCCCATGGGCCAAATCTGACTCGCTGCCAGTTTTCACAAATAAAGTTGTATTGGAAATTTGGAAAAAAGCCGTATCTATTTACTTATCACCTGTGGCTGCTTCCTCACTACAAAGGCAGAGTTGAATCACTGCAACAGAGAACATATGGCCTGCTGATATGGATTGAATGTTTGTGGGTTAGTTTAGGGCTAATCCATTAATTGGTTGGGTGGCACTTATAATAGTCACTATACAAATTCACATGTTGATCTAATCACCAAAGTGATGGTATCAGGAGGTGGGGCCTTTGGGAAATTCTTAGGTTATGAGGGTGGAGCCCTCATGAGTGGGATTAGTGCCCTTATAAAAGAAACCCCACAGAGCTCCCTTACCCCTTCTGCCAAATGAGAACACAGCAAGAAGATGGCTGCCTATGAACCAGAAAGCAGGTTCTCACCAGACACCAAATCTGCTGATGCCTTCATCTTACACTTCTAGCCTCCAAAACTGAGAAATGTCTACTGTTTATAAGCTACTCAATCTGTTGTATTTTGTTTTAGCAGCCCAAACGGACTGACACCCACAAAATATAAAATACTTACTTCCTGGCCCTTTACAGAAAAGATTGCTGACCTCTGATACAGACCACAGTGGAATTAAGTTTTCCTTATATTATCATGAGACTACAGAATATTGACTTACTCGTATATTCACTGATCATTCTCTACTCCTACAATGCCATTTTCCACTTTGATAACAACCACAAGAAAATTCTTTAACAACTGGTATTTACTATTACTATTAATATCCCTAGTAAGAGCATTTGTTATTAAGTACAAGTCTCTCCAATATGGAATTGGAAAGATTCTTGGGAAGCAATAAAGATTTTCAAAAAGCTTCTTGTGTGAAAGTTGGGAAAGTCAGGGTTGTTTTATTATACCTAGAAGAGTGCTGAGGCAGAAGCGGTGTTAAAAAAAATTAAAACATATGGAGGAGAAATGTATTTTCTCATAAGCAATTAAGGATCTTGACATTCCGACCTTCCTTACTGCTTCTAAAATGTATTCAGAATGCAAATTTGAGACACTGGTGAATTAACCATCACAACCACTAGTAACAAGCAGGCCAGAATGCAGAGGAAGCACATAGGTCAGCCAGATGCCCTCCCTCGAGCCTTTAACTTCAGGAGTCCCCTTTCTGTCACATTGATTCGAGTATACAAAATCTATACCAACTCATTTTTCTGGTCTTCTATATGGTACACAAGTCTCTAGTTTTTGAGGTCGGTTAAGTACGTTTGTCACTTTCCAGATCCAACTCTGTTCCTTTGTCTTTTGAAAAAGTTCTTTAGTAGGGACTTCCCTGGTGGCCCAGTGGGTAAGACTCCATGCTCCCAATGCAGGGAGCCTGGGTTCGATCTCTGGTTGGGGAACTAGATCTTGCATTCATGCTGCAACTAAGTCTGTATGCCACAACTAAGAAGTCCACATGCCACAACTAAAGATCTTGCGTGCTGCAACTAAGACCCAGTGCAACCAAAATAAATAAATAAATAATATTAAAGAAGAAAAAGCTCTTTAGTAATGAAATGGCTGAATTCAAGTGACCATCAAATATGTATGAGATACCCTCCCCAAAAGGATCTAACAGATGGGAAATGACCTAGCAGATGACGCATCCCTGATGGAGACACTCGGGACTAAAGGTCTCCTGACCAGTCAAGTGGCTCATCTTCTTGACTTGATCACATAGGACCATTGCTCCCTGAGAAAGAGTTTATCTTCCAAAGATGACCATCTGTTTCTCTCACATCCTCCTTTTACAACATAACTCAGACACTCCTCCATGAGGCAAGAGGGATGCCTGCCCTTGGAAGCCAGCAGCACACGCTGTGGGGAAGCCCAGGCCACAAGGAGGGGTCATATGTAAGTGATGACAACAGCTGACAATCAGCATTAATTGTTAAGACATGTGAATTAGACTGCAGGTGGTTTTAGCCTCCAGCTGTAATGGCGCTTCTCAGACACAGGGGAGCAGATGAGTATTCCCCACTGAGCCCTGCCAAACAGCAGACTTCTGAGCTAAATGACTGTGTGTGGTTTTTTTTTTTTTAAAAAAAAACAGCTTTACTGAGACATAATCCACATTATTATACACCCATTTATTTTATTTATTTTTATTTTTGGCTGCGTTGGGTCTTCGTTTTTGCGTACAGGGTTTCTCTAGTTGCGGCGAGCAGGGGCTACTCTTCGTTGTGGTGCACGGGCTTCTCATTGTGGTGGCTTCTCCTGTTGTGGAGCACAGACTCTAGGCGTGCAGGCTTCAGGAGTTGTGGCGCGTGGGCTCAGCAGTTGTGGCTCACGGGCTCTAGAGCGCAGGCTCAGTAGTTGTGGCGCATGGGCTTAACTGCTCCACGGCATGTGGGATCTTCCTGAATCAGGGATCAAGCCTGTGTCCCCTGCATGGGCAGGTGATTTCTTAACCACTGCGCCACCAGGGAAGCCCCGATACACCCATTCAAAGTGTACAATTCAATGTGTTTTTTTTCCTCAGTGTATTCAGCATTGTGCAACCATCACGATCAACTTTAGAGCATTTTCATCGCCCCCCAAAGAAACCTGTGCTCATTATCGCTAATCTCCATTTCCTCCCAACCCCCTCAGCCTTAGGCAACCACTAATCTACTTTCTGTCTCTAACAGATTTGCCTATTTCAGACATTACACGCAAATCAGCTCACACAATATGAGGCCTTTTGGAACTGTCATCTTTCACTTGGGAGAACATCTTCAAGGTTCATCCACATTGTAGATGTTTCATTACTTCATTCTTTTTTATTGCCAAATAATAGTCCATGGTATGGATATACCACTCTTTATTTATCCATTCATCCACTGATGGACATTTGGGCTGTCTCTATTTTTTAGCTATTATGGACTTACTTCTGGACTCTCAATTCTGTTCCATCGATCTATATGTCTACCCTTATGCCAGTCCCATACTGCTTTTATTCTGTAGCTTTGTAGTAAGCTTTGAAATCAGGAATTGGAGGACTTTGTTCTTGTTTAAATTTGTTTTGGCTATTCTGTATCCCTTGAATTTCCATATGAATTTTTAAAAAATTTTGCCAATCTCTGTAAAAAAAAAAAAAAATCCAGCTGGAGTTTTGATAGGGCTTGAACTGAATCTTATTAGGTCAATTTCAGATTTTGTCATCTTAAGCAACTCAATTTTGGGGTGGCTTGTTGTACAATAACTGATACTATTATTAACATGAGTGGGGTAATAACTGATATTACCCCACTGGGGAAGCATCCATTTTATTATGGGTGAAGACAAAGGAGGGTGTCTTCACTCCAAATAATAAAACTTCATCTGAAAGGTGTCTCCTTCTAGAAGGCAAGTAGGACTTTCCTTTGAACAGTCTTTGATTGGTGGTTTTGTCTGCATTTCCAGGTTGAGGCCCTTTCATCACTTGAAGAGACTGGTCCAAATGCTGCCTACTGCCGCTGCCTGGCCCACACCCTACCTCTCGCCCAGGGTGTGATTTTTCTGTCCTGGGAATGTTCAAACAGCAATCACTGGACCTGGGATTTCATTTCTTCTCCAGACTTGGGTGCCCTTACTTGGGGTAGGGATTTGCTGAGGGAAATGGGGGTCCTGGCTGCCCACACCCACTACTACCAAAAGGAGGCCCAGCAGCAGAGCTGAGAATCTGTGGAAGACCAGAAGAAAGGAGGCTTTAGCTAAGAGTAAAGCCGCTGCTGAAATGAGTGTGTGTTAAAATGTCCCACAGCATCCTGGAAGGTTTTATTCTTCTTTGTGGTGACGCTAACGGTAGGTTTTTGCCCAAATTATTCCATTTCTAAGTATTTAATGAGGTAATTCTGAATGAGAGAAAACCTACCTCAGGGCATATGACCCTCTTTTCTTCTGTCGCACGTAGAAGCGTGAGGGCCACCTGCAGCCTGGCTGTTGAGGGGTTAGGCTGGGTTCAGGGCAGGAGGCTGGGAAGACCCTCCCACTGCCTCTGCCTTTAGACGACTCCAGCTCATGGTTCTACCCCTTTGGCAGGAAGCCCCCAGGCAGGGTGGAAACAAGTCGTAAGCAGTTGAGGAGACAAATCTGTGGGCTTCACTCTGGGCCTGGGCTACAGCCAGGTCAAGTGCCTGCTTTATTCAGATGGGAAATGCATGAATGGGGCTCAGCCCCAGCCTTTACACATTGTGAAGGCAACTGGGAGTGAGGCAGGGATCTAGAAAAATAATGCATGGATCCAGACAATGGAGAAAGACCATGCTAAATCAGCTTAAGGCAAAGACCGGCCAGGGGGAGAGAGTAGAAGAGGTGACAGAAAAGGAAGAAATCTTGGGCAGCTTGAGCTGTGTTGGGGCCTAGCGGAAGTAGCTGGGACATTCATGGGCAACCAGGTGCCAGGCCTGATCAAAGGCCTGCACGATGGCTGGCTCTAGGGGCCCTTCTTCAGTGGCCACCAAGTTCTGTTCCAGCTGCTCCAGGCTGGACATGCCCAGGATGACCGCGTCCCCGTGGGCACCCTGCAAGGGGAGACGGCCAGACGTCAACACACTAGCGCACCACAGTGACCCCGGTCACACACGCTCCCCCCACTCCACCCACAGCCTTGCCCCCGCCAAAAATTGGGACCTGATTTTTTAACTTTATACTCTACATAGTTCTAGAAAGCACTTAAGGTACCTTCAACAACTGTAACTATGTGGCCCCAAACCCTGTCTTCCTTCCTCCTGCTGCCACACTGCTCACCCTCATTCAGACCGAAGTTCAGAGCCCAGTTCTGCCACTCAGCAGCTCTGTAAACTAGGGTTAGCTGTTTAACCCCCCGAGACTCAAATCTTCTCAATTTTCAGCGTGGCTATGGGAATGAGAAATTATGCAAAGCACTGAGCTCCCACTTATTGAAAACCTACTATTATACATGTCAGAGACTATGCAACTATGTAAGGCTGACGCTGGAGAAAAATTTTAACCAGGAAGACAGGGGACACCAAAGACAGAGGGAAACCCCACCTCCCCCCAGAGGAGCCAGACCAGGGGGTTTTACAGTCAAATCTGTGATAATTTTCTATCCCTTTCACAGCTGTATGAACCCCAGTTTGCTTATCAGTAAAACTGGAATAATCACACTTCATCAGGCCTAGGTAATAATTCAATCCATGTTAGGAAAGCCCTCATTATAGGGCCTGGCACTTGGACAGCTACTCAGAACAACAGGAAGGCTGCCATGAAAACTGGAACAAAGAGAAATTTCAGGGGGAAAAACTACTTAGAAATCACCTGAAGGTAATTCTGGCTTCCCGAAGGGAGCAGAAGTGGGGCTTCCAGCAACGATGGGTTACCTGGAGCTGTGAGTGGTGGTACATCCACCGGAGGGCGGCCGAGGTCATGCTGGGGGTGCTGGGGCCATACGCAGCCTGCAGGGCCTTCTCCACCAGGGCAATGGCCTTGAAGTGGTGTTCCTTCCAGAAGCTGAGCAGGTGGGGAGGATAGCACAGGGGTCAGGACCATGGGGTCGCACTGGGGGCCACCGCCAAAGAGTCAAACAGGACAGCTGCGCTCACCCCAACCCTGCAGCATGGAGGGGCTGGTATCCCCTCTAGCAATGGGTCTCCTGCTTTATTGAAACACCCAGGATGCTGGCTCCCTCACCAGAAACCTCAATGACATCTTTACCCCTGAGAACTCAAAGCCTGCCCTTACTTTACCTAGGGAAATAGGCAGCAAGTACAGGGGTATGGCTCGGCCCCAGGACTGCTGAGCCTCCATCCAGGGCCCTCTCCTTCCCCATCTGCAGGTGACGAGCACTCCTCGGGGCGGAGCGATGACTTGGAAGACCTGGCATAAGGTCCAGGGATCCTCATTCCTCATGGAGGTCCCAAGAAAACAAGAAGAAACCCTATAGAGGGCTTCATAATTCCTCTAGGAATCAAAAGAGGTAGGTCCAGGCAGCAAGGGACAGCTTGGAGACCCAGGAAAGCAGCCTAGAGCTCCTCCATTTCAGATAAAGGTGACCCCCTCCCACTCCTCCCACCCTGATGCAGCCCATCCCCAGCTCACCGATTCCTGTAGATCTCTGCCCAATTGGTCCCAAAGAAGCGGCCCACAGGTTGCTTCCTGTCCTTGTCCTCATACTTGTACTTGCCGGTCAGCAGGCCCCCTGCAGGAAGGCTGTGATCAGATCCCCTGGCACTGCTCCCAGAGGCTGCTCTGGACCGGAAGTGGGGGTGATGGTGGGGGACCCAGGAGGGATGGAGGACCCAGCCCAGCCTCCTGTCAAACCCTTCCCTGCTTCCCAGGTCTGGGGCCGGGTATCCCCTGGGTCAGGAATAGGGAGAAACAGGACCAGAAATGCCCCCCGGGACCTGGGAGGGGAGCCCGTCCCCACAGCAGCCCATATCCCATACCAGCCAAAGGGTTGTAGGCGTAGAACCTCAGTCCAAAGTGCCTGATGCAGGGGAAGAGCTCTGTCTCCACCTGCCGGGTAGTGGCGTTGTACATGCCCTGCGGGCAGAAGGGCCAGCTGGAGAGGGTGCACGGGTCAGGGGGCCCCAGTCTTCTTTAAAAACCTTCAGTCAAAACCTGCCCAGGACTTCAGCAATGATTTCCAACATCACCAGTGGTGGCTGGGCGATGGGGAGATGGTGCTGGGCCCCAGGAAGGGACAGTGGACGGGATATGTCATTCCCCACATATCTGTAGGCACCAGTTGTGTGCTGGACACTGAGTTCCCAAACACCAGCGTATCTAGCAAGGTCTCTGCTTCCAAGAGACGTTAGAGTCAAGTTAAAAACAAAGACAGAGGTCAGGTGATCACATAAAGGTGGGTTCGGTGATCATAGCAGATTCTCCCAAATACTTGTTCAATGTATGAAGATAGGGTTTGGAGATGGGAGGCCCCGCTGGGTTGTTGGGAAAGGCTTCCAGAGGAAGAGGCATCTAAGCGAGACCTGGGCACTCGTTCCCACGAGAAGCAGGGAGGAGTGTTCCAGGCTGACTGCAGAGGGAGAAGCAGGCAGGAAGGGGAACCTGGGCCAGAGAGAGCAGGTGCCTAATGGCTGGGCTGAGGGTACCCGGGAGCCATCTACAGGCTGTGAGCAGGGGAGGCAGGGGGGTGGCTGCTATGGAGAGGGCATGGGGTGGGGGGGAGATTGGGGGCGAGTGGGAGGGGCCATGAGGACCCGGGATCAGCAGGCACCCAGGAGACAGAGGCCTCTGCAGCCCTGGCCTCACCTGGTACACGGTGGGCAGGATCCAGTTGTTGCTCTTGCACAGGGTACAGATCTCGGCCACTTCCCAGGCGGCATAGTTGGAGAGGCCAAGCTCCACAAACTTGCCCTGCGGGGGAGAGGCCAAGGTCAGAACCCACTGCAGCCCGGAACACCAGGAAGGAGAGACTGGCTGGGGACCCTGGGAGTGGGGTCTGTCCCCAGCTCTGCTCTGGGACAGCCCTGGAGCCTCCACTCTCCTGGGCAACGACAGGTCAAGGAGAGGAGCTGGGGGGCCGCCCTCACCTCCTGGTGCAGCTGGTGGCAGGCACGCAGTGTCTCTTCCACAGGGGTGCCGTGGTCCGGTGCATGTAGATAGAAGAGGTCAACATGCGGACACTGCAGCCGCTTCAGTGACGTCTCCAGCTGGGACCGGAGGCTATCAGGCTTCAGCGACTTCCCTTCCCAGGGATTGGCCTTGGTAGCGATTTTCACTTTGTGGGAAGAATGTAATGGTTAAGAAACTTATTGTAACCACTTACTAGCCATGTGACCCTGGCTAAATTACTTAAGTTCTCTGAGTTTCAATTCTCTAATCTATAAAATGGGGATGATAACAATGGAACTGTCTTCACAGGGAGAGCATGAGGATTCAATAATGTCTCATGTGCGAGTTCCCAATGTTCACTGCTGCTATATTAGTCACCAAACTGCTAGCTGTGTCAAGCCTTGTAGTAGAGGCCAAGCGCACAGAGATGAACTAAACACTCAATTTCTGCCCCCGAGGAGGTCACAAGCTAGAAGGTGATGTTACAATATGTAAGTGCAGTAGAGCCCAGAGGAGACGTATGTGGCCAACCTGGGAATTCCGGGGAGGGCTTCCTGACCCCACAAGTTGAGTCTCCAAAAAAGCATCCTGGGACTTCCCTGGTGGTCCGGTGGTTAAGACTCAGCACTTCCACTGCAGGGGGCATGGGTTCAATCCCTGTTCGGAGAACTAAGATCCCGCATGCTGCACAGCACGGCCAAAAAAAAAAAAAGAGGAGTCCCAGCCAACAAGGAAGGGTGGGAAGCACATTCTGAAGGGTGGGAACTTGGACAAAATCACAAAGGCAAGAAAGCATGGTACGTGAAGGCCATATGTGCAACTCTGGGTTATAAACTCTAGGCAGGGAGCAGTGGTACATGAGACAAGAGAAGGGGGTCCAGACCTAATCCCAACGGGTTTTCTCAAATACCATCATTCAAAGGTTTTATGAGTGAACTGGTCAGCTGTGTTCGCTCTGGTTGCCATATAGAGAGAGACGTCGAGGGGGCAGGCCTGAAGACAGGGGGACAGGTAAAGAGGCTGCTGCAGGAATTCAGGAGAGAGTTGCAGCTGCTGAACATAACCACTGGCAGATCCATTTGAGAGAGAGGTAGAAGGCAAAATGAGCAGAAGGCAGTGACAGTTTCCCCCCTCTCCTTCCAGACTCCTGGAAGCGTGTACATCTGCATACCCATTGTAGAGACACACTCCCCATGAGAACAAGAGAGTGTTCTGCCATGCAAGCAGCTTGGAAGTCTTATAAAGAATGCTGGCTCTCTGGGGGATTCCCCGGTGGCGCAGTGGTTAAGAATCTGCCTGCCAATCAAAGGGACACAGGTTCGAGCCCTGGCCGGGGAAGATTCCACATGCTGCAGAGTGACTAAGCCCGTGTGCCACAGCAACTGAGCCTGAGCTCTAGAGTCCGCGAGCCACAACTACTGAGCCCACCACAACTACTGAAGCCTGCGTGCCTAGAGCTCGCGCTCCGCAACAAGAGAAGCCACCACAATGAGAAGCCCGCGCACCGCAACGAAGAGTAGCCCCCGCTCTCTGCAACTAGAGAAAGCCCGCGCACCGCAACGAAGAGTAGCCCCCGCTCTCTGCAACTAGAGAAAGCCCGCGCACAGCAATGAAGACCCAACACAGCCATAAATAAATAAATTTTTTTTTTTTTTTGCGGTACGTGGGCCTCTCACTGTTGTGGCCTCTCCCGTTGCGGAGCACAGGCTCCGGATGCGCAGGCTCAGCGGCCATGTCTCACGGGCCCAGCCGCTTCGCGGCATGCGGGATCCTCCCGGACCGGGGCACGAACCCACGTCCCCTGCATCGGCAGGCGGACTCTCAACCACTGCGCCACCAGGGAAGCCCAATAAATAAATTTTTATATTAAAAAAAGAGAACGCTGGCTCTCTGGATCCTGCACTTTCCATACCTGGCAAGCGCAGCTCAGTAATCCAGAGGGGAGGGAGTCATCAGACCACTTGGATGTTGGAGAGACCAAGTCTCTCAGCTTCTCGTCCAGATTTTTTCCATTCCCCACATTTCTCAATCCCCCTGCATTCTTGGTGTGAACCTTGCCTCGGGTCTGACCTGAGGACTTTGACTCTGTGAGTGCCTGGCCTCAAAGAAGGAAGCAGGGAAGGACTGGAGGGGGAGAAACCAATTCAGGAATAAGATCTTCATTAGTCATGAGAGGCACCCAGGTGAACTAGAGAGTGTGGGTCTGAGATGCACATTCCCAAGTCTGTTCCTCCAGGTCCACCAAGCTATGAATCTAAGGAGGACCCAGAGGGGGACGCCCCTGACACAAGGGCTGGGAAGAAAGAGTCTCAGGATGGAAAAGAGGAGGCAGAGTGTGGCAGTAATAGTATCAGCTGACTTCACTGGGTCCCACCATGTGCCAGGCACCCTCCTAGGCACTTCCAGTGGCATCAGGCTGATGAGGGACCGTCCCTCCACACACACATCCTCCACTCAAGCACACCTGCCTCCTGGCCATCCACACACCAGTCTTGGCACAGCTATGCCCTCAGCCTCTCATAACCCTTTGACTCATGCTCTGCCCAGCAAACTACTATTGTTCCTTGAAGGCCCAGCCTCAGTGTTCTCTGAGCCTTCCCTAGGGCCTCTGCCTGGCCCCATCATGCCTTCCCTAAAAGTGCTTCCTCTTCTACCCTCCTCTGCAATTATTTGCTTCAATCTTCCCCACTAGCCTCTGAGCTCCCTGCGGGTGGGTTAGAGACACTTTCCCTCCTATAGCTCCATAAGAAGCTGGCATAGGGCTACAGGAGTGGACAGAAATGCCTTACCCTCTCTCTCACGCCTCCCCACTCTTTACCCCACCACCCCTGCTCCCCCAGCCCGGTCTATGGCAATGCTACAGCTCTCCCTGAGAGAGCCAGGGGTACTGCCAACTGAACAGAGCAAAGTCTGGGGACTGATGAAAGACCTGGATGAGAAAAGGGCTCTCGGGGAGCGCACGGGCGTTGAGGACAATGGGAAGAGGGGCATAGGCAGAGCGCCTGGGGACCGGTTATGGGCACCTGGCAGGGTTGGAGGGGGGCGCGGCATAGCTCTGGAGACCAGTGCCGCAGAGAGGTGCACTAAGAAAGCAACTGGGGTAGGAAGCCAAGGACTAGATCAGGCTCGGGGGTTACCGAGTTGCAATCCCCAGACGAAGAAGCGGAGGGGAAGGTGGTCAGGAGAAAACGCTGTTCAGCTGTCGGGGCTGGATGTGCAAGGGACTTGAGGCGCGGGGTGTTCACAGAGCTGCGGGATGGCCAGGGGAGGTGGGCGCCCCGGGGGCGGGGCGAAGCGGTCGGCCCTGACCGCGGCGGGCGCGTGGCTGGGGTCGGGTCAGCGTCCTGCGGGACGGGTCTGCACTGCACGGTGCAGGGAGAGGACAGGCGGTCGGTGCGCGGGCGCCAGAAGTTACCTTTGCTGTCGCCGCCGCCCAGCCCGAGCCCCAGGCCGCCCAGGATGCTCTCGGACTGGCCGTCGCTGTACATGAAGGCCGTGTCCAGCTCAGTGTGGCCGCGCTCCAGGAAGGCGCGCACTGCCGCGGCGCTGGCGGGCGCGTCCATGCGGCGCCCCATCTCCATGGTGCCCAGCACGGTGGCGGGCCGGATAGGGGAGCCTGAGGCCCGGGACATGGCGGCTGCGGTGGCGGCGGTGCGAGCCTCGGGTGGCCGGGGGGTACGAACGCAGCGGACGGCGGCGCGGGCCACGGCGCGAGACAAGTTGCTCAGCATGAGGTCGGCGCCTGCGCGCTGGGGCGCCTCGGACCCCGCCTCCCTGCCGACGGGGAGAAGCGCGGCGCCCCCTCACGCAAGATACGCTCGCTCGCCACGACTCCCGGGACCTTCCGCCAAGTGCGCGGCGCAAGAGGCGGAGCCGCGCAGCTCCGGGGCGGGGCGGGGCGGGGCGGGGCGGGGTTTCTGGTCAGCTGATGAAGGCAGGAGCTGGAGAACCCAGAAGTCGGGCGGTGGGGAGGCTCAAGACTTGGTAAGCCGAATTTGAGGCTGGGGCTGCGGTTCGGGACTCTGGGCCTTCCCTGCTACATCTTTCCAACACCCTCCTCCAGCCCCTGGATGGTCCTGGGGCTACTGCCTCCACCTCGGGGCGCGAGATCTTGGAGCGAGGCTCTGGGCTGGGATTGGGAGGCCCTCGGCGGGGGCCCAGGGCCCCCTCCTCAAGGGCGACCAGCATGACCCCTCGGGCCGCTCTGACCTAGGGCCTGGGGTCTGGGTTCCTTTTTCACCTCTTGTTCCTGGCCGACGGGCCCCTGCGTTTCTGACGACTTTGTTTTCCCCAGGGCGGGCCAGAGGAGGGGGCTTCGCGGCGAATGAGCGCTGACCCCAGCGGCTGCCCTGTTATTATCCCCGCCAAACAGGCGGCCGGTGCTCGGCTGAGTCACTAGGAGGGAGTTGTGACCGAGGACCTGGAGGGCTGGAGTGGGTGGTAGCCCCAAGGCGGAATGCTCCTCCCCTCAGGTGCTCCCCAATTCTGCAGGGAGCCCAGATTGTCCCCTCCCATTCCATGCCTAGGACAGGTTTCCAAGTGTGTACATGGGGAGTCTGTGTTTGGAAGTAGGAGGACTGACGCAGTCTTGTCTTTTCAAGGCTTACTGAAGCCTGCTGTTTGCCAGGAACCCTGTGGGGGGAGGGGAGAGAGCTCTAGACAGAGCAGAATAATAGCCATTCCCGGTTATTCTACTGAGGGTTTGACCTGTGCCAGGCGCCATTCTAATCCCTCAGCCTGGATTCTCTCATTTAACTCTGCCGTTAGCCTAGCAGGTGGATACTTGCATCATTCCCTCGTTTTACAAGTTGGAACTCTGAGGCTCAGGCACTTGACCAAGAATTCATTACTAGTAGGCATTAGGCAGGTCAGTTCCAGAGTGCTTTCTCCTCAACCCTAGGCCATCCAAGCTCACAATTAGGTCTCCCAGTCTCCCTTCCTTTCTTTGTTTCTCTCTCTCTCTCTCTCTCTCCCTTCCTACCTTCTTTTCCTTCCTTTCTCGCTCCCTCTCCCCCCGCTCCGTGTGTGTCTTGCTGTTTTTTGAACCTTTACTGTGCACCTGGTGTGTCCGGGGCCTAAGAAGTTTACACCCGGGGCGAAGGGAGAGGAGTGGCTTAAAGCGCGGCAGTGGCGGACGAGTGTGATGAACGTTCTTCGGGTTTGTGGAGGAGGTAAGGGAAGAGGGGACAGGTGTTTTCCCGCCAGCTCCTGTGAGGACCCTCTAAACTGAGACGGCAATTTAGAACTGGGTCTTAGTTTCTCTTTACTACGCCGTCTAGGATGAAAAGGCCCAGCCTAGGGGAAGAGACGGCATGGACAGAAGTCAGGAGACCTGGGAGTGACCGTCTGAAGGCCTAGAGGGAGGGACAGGAGATGGGGGGGAGGGCAGTTCTTGGAGTACTCTGGGGCTCGGTCTCAAGGCGTTTGGACTTATCTGGTAGATAAAGGTGGCCACCTGAGCAGCTTCAGTGGGGAGCATCTCTGTGGCTCAGCTTTGAGATCTGGACGAGTTACATGGCTGTGGCAGCGGATGCCATTTCCAGGGCTGCCTTACTTTTCTTTTTTTTTTAATATTTATTTATTTATTTGGCTGCACCAGGTCTTCGTTGCGGCATGTGGGATCTTTACTTGCGGCATGTGGGCTCTAAGTTGTGGCATGCAGGATCTAGTTCCCTGATCAGGGATTGAACCCGGGCCCCTTGCATTGGGAGTGTGGAGTCTTAGCCACTGGACCACCAGGGAAGTCCCTCCGCCTTTCTTTTTTTTTTTGCGGTACGCGGGCCTCTCACTGTTGTGGCCTCTCCCGTTGCGGAGCACAGGCTCCGGACGCTCAGGCTCAGCGGCCACGGCTCACGGGCCCAGCTGCTCTGCGGCATGTGGGATCTTCCCGGACCGGGTCACGAACCCGTGTCCCCTGCATCGGCATGCGGACCCTCAACCACTGTGCCACCAGGGAAGTCCCCTCCGCCTTTCTTAAAGTGTGGTCACGTGCACAGAATACATGTGGTCAGAATACGCTGGGGGAGCTTCTTAAACCCCAGGTCCTTTATCCCCAGCTCTGACACACTGATCCTGAATTTCAAACATGTGCTCTCCATGATAACAAGGCACCCCTGAATCAACTATATACTTCAATTAAAAAAAACAAAAACCACAAGGAACCCCTGTTGTGGTCCTTGTCACACCTACAGACCTGGTCAACCTTTGTTGCAACCCTGGCCATCCATTTGCTCAGTGCTGTTGGACTAGGAGGTGGGCCCGGTCTCAGAAGCCAGGCCTGGGCCCAGGCTGGCTTCCTACTTGGGTCAGAACCCACGGGTGACAGGCTCTGTGCACAGTGGCCCTCAGAGGAAAGTGTCTTCTGTTCAGTGCTCAGGCGTGTCTCAAAGTATCCTGAGCCCCGAGCTGCTCATGGACCCCGTGCATGGACAGGGGACCACCCACCCAGGGCCCTGGGCCCTGGGCCCTATGAGCCATGGTACATCCCCCAAGACACCCATCCCTCCTTCACTGGGCGTGTGTCCACTTTCTTTCTTCCCTAGCCTGGTGATGAGCCATGGTACATCCCCCAAGACACCCATCCCTCCTTCACTGGGCGTGTGTCCACTTTCTTTCTTCCCTAGCCTGGTGAAAAGAGGAAGTGAGAGTGACCTCAGGGTGCTTGAGATACTGGTCTCTCATTCTTAGTCACTACCATTGTGTCAGGCCCTGGGCTAAGAGCTTTATGTGCATTTTATCTTTACAACAACCCCAAGGAGTGAGCGTCATTATCCTCGTTTTATACACAGGCTCAGACTGTTACTTGCACAAGGCCCCTCACCCTTATCTGTAGAATGAGGACAGTGTTCCCCTCACAGAGGAGTTAATGAGGATGGCAGTATACTACCGTGATGACCTGCCGTGGTGTGTTGAGGCTCTACAAGAGGAGGCTTGGGGAAGTGGTCCACTGGAGGGGTGGCTGGGGAACAAAAGGACTTGATTTGAAATGCCTGAGGCACCACAAAAACCCAGCTCCTACCTGGACTGCGTGTTAACCTGGGGTGGCCTTGCAGCTGCTGGTGGCAGGACAGCAGATAAATGGCTCCAACATCAGCTGTGCTGAAGGTCAAGGGGGGGTGGTCACCAAGGTACAGGAAGAGACCTTCAGCCCCCCTTTGCAGGGCCCCGGAGGGACTGCAGTGAACCAGGCAGGCAGTGACCTGGGGTGCTGGGGCTCGCTGTTGAGTCACGTTAGAGCTGAGAGCCTAGAGCTTCCTAAGAAAAGCAGCTGACTCGCTTCCTTTCCCTGCCTGACGCTCCCAGCTCGCTGCGGCCTCAGCAGTTCCAAGGGTCCAGCCAGGGTGTCTCAGCCCATTCGGGCCAATGTAACAAAATACCATTTGTCTGGATGGCTTAGAAACAAACATTGATTTCCCACAGTTCTGGAGGCTGGGAAGTCCAAGTTCAGGGTGCTAGTAGATTCAACGTCTGGTGAGGGTCCACTTCCTAGTTCATAGATGGCTGTCTTCTCGATGTGTCCTCACCTGGCAGAAGGGGCGAGGGAGCTCTCTGGGGTCTTTCCTGTAAGGGCACTAATCCCATTCATGAGGGCTCTGCCTTCATGACCTAAATACTCCCCAAAGGCCCCACCTCAAAAATACCATCACATTGGGGGTTAGATTTCAACAGGACAGGAGGGACATAAACATTTGGTCTGTGGCATTGTCTGTGGGGCATTGCTTTACGAGGATCCTGGGTCTTTTGACACAAGCAGAAACTGAAGGTGGCTGGAGAGAGCCTCATCCCAGGTGAGGAAAGCCCCTCTGAGCGCAGTGAGAAAAGGGGAAGCCTGTCTTCTGGCTGCATGAGACCCTGGGCAGCCCTGCCAGACCACAGGAAGGTGCCGCCGTTCCCAGGGACAGAAGCATGGTGGCTGTGAGTGCTTCCTGCTTGGGTGGCCCTGGCAAGTCACCTCCCCGGGTCCACGCAGACATATCAGTAGCCCCCGCTTCATAGAGCTGATGTGCAGCAAAATGCAGAAAGGCCTACGTAAGGTACTTAGCACAGAGCTGGTAACGTGCTCAGCTATCAGGGGCTGTGATGATTCTGCCCAGCAACCCCACTTCCTCTTCCTCCTCTGGGACTGTCACACAGGCTGTGACTGCTCTAGGACACCAGGTGGGGACTTCGCCGCCTGCCCCTGCAACCAGCCAGCTCCTGGCTTTGTCGGCGGTGAGAATGGGGAGGTGGCTCCAGACTCTTTGCCAGCAGGCGTCCTACACACGCGAGCTGCTGGGAGAATGCGGCTTGAGCACGCCAAGCTTGAATCCCAGCCATGTGTGCAACTCACCTGCTCCTTCTTCACCACTTGCCTCATCTGACCAATGTACTAGGGGACAGCCATACATTTTTTTTTTTTTTGGCTGAGTGGTGCAGCTTGTGAGATCTTAGTTCCCTGACCAGGGATTGAACCCAGGCCCCAGCAGTAAAAGTGCTGAGTCCTAACCACTGGACCACCAGGGGATTCCCAGGACAGCCGTACTTTAAATGAGAGGATGTACTTAGTGGGCCTGGTCTCAGCAGACCCTCACAGCATGATTTGCAAGCAGAAAAGATTGGAAACAATCGAAATGTTCAAGAGTTAGAACAAAGGTGGCATTGTTGAGGGCTCAGTTCTCTACACTAGATTTATGAACCCATTGAACCCTCACAGCTGTGTGGGGGAGGCACTGTTATCGCCCCATCTTGCAGATGAGGAGACTGAGGCACAGCAAGGCTGAGTCACTTGCCCAAAGTCGAGGCGTTAACAGGCAGAGTGGGGATTCGAATGCACCTGTCTCTGACCACACATCCAGTGCCCTCCCTGCATATGTGGTTACTTTGATCTCTGTACTGATCGTGTTCTCTGGTTCAGGGGCTCAGTCCATGCTGGGTGATAAGGCTGGAATGGGCTCAAAGTGGCGGGACCATGACTAGGACCCAGACCTCCCAAGGCTGAAGGCCCCTGTCTTGTTCCCTGTAGAGCTGTCGCCTGCCTCAGCACACCGGCTCCCTCCCTCCCTCCCTCCGAAGCCATGGTCTGGAGGAAGCTGGGCTCCAGAAACTTCTCCAGCTGCCCCAATGGCTCCAGCCAGTGGATATGGGACGTGTTTGGCGAGTGTGCCTGGGATGTCTGGGACAAGGCCAGCGTGGGCCTGGGCTTGATCTCCATTCTCTGCTTTGCTGCGTCCACCCTCCCGTGAGTAGCATCAGGGTGGTGGGACCAGGGCTGGGTTGCACGGGTGGGGCAAGTGCTCCTGGGGCTGCGCCGAAGAGGGGCTCACTGGCTGGCGTTGGGCCTCTCCAGACTCAAGGCCAAGTGTGCTCCCTCTCCCATCCCCACTGACTGACTTCCAGCCCACCCTGGAGGGCCCTACAGCAAACCTCACTCTAGGCCCTGCCTTGTGCTGGACCATGCTGACACACAGGTAATAATAATAACACCTGTTCACTAAGTGCCCACTGTGTACCTAGCTCATTTCTAAGCACTTGACATGTCTTTACCCTATTTAATCCTCATAACCACCCTGTGAAATAGATACAATCTGTATCGCTACTTTACGAGGAAATAGAAACCCAGAGAGGTTAACTAGCTTGCTGTGAATTGCACAGCTAGTCAGAGAGGAGGCGGAGGAGTGGGAGGGCTGGGGTGCATCGAACTTGGCCTTTGTTCTGTGACAGTCTGGTGGAGGACAAGCAGTGATTACAAAACAGCATGGCCACTGCTGTGATTAGGGAACGTGGACACACTGTGACCTGAGCAAGTCCCTTCGCTGCTCTGCGCCTCAGTTTTCTCATCTGTAAAATGGGAATGTTGTTCCCTACCTCACAGGGTTGCTATGAGGATGGCCTTTACACACCATACGCTCAGTCCCATGGCTGGGCAGAGGCGGGGCCAAAGAGGAGAGGTGAGGTCAAAGAGGTCATCCAGGGCCCTGTAATGTAAGGGCATTCTCCACTGTTAGGAAATCTTATGCTGTTTCTCCTGAGGGAGAAAGATAACAGTTTAATTGGGAGATAATCCACATACCACTGAGTTAGCCCATTTAAATGTACAAGTCCAAGGTTTTAGTATATGCACAGAGCTGTGTAAGCATTGGCGCAATCAGTTTTAGAACATTTTTGTCACCCTAAAAAGAAACCCAGAAAGAAATGAGTCATTCCTCGTTTCCCTCTAAATCTCCCGGCCCCAACCACCAATCTGCTTTCTGTCTGTAGATTTGCCTATTTTGGACATTTCATATCAATGGATCATACAGTATGTGCCTTCTGTGACTGGCTTCTTTCACTTAGCATAACATCTTCAAGGTTCATCCACGTCATACGTAGCTAGTGTCAATACTTCATTCTTTTTTTACATCCGAATAGTAGTTTTCGTTGTATGTGTATACCTTTTGTTTATTCATTCGTTCATTGATGGACATTTGGGCGGTTTCTACCTTTTGGCCAGTGTGATTAAGGCTGCTATGTATGTTCATGTACAAGTTTTAGTGGGGACATGTGTGTTTACTTCTCTTGGGTATATACCTAAGGGGCGGAATTGCCGGGTCACATGGTAACTCTGTGTTTAATCTTTTGAGGAACTGCCAGACTGTTTTCCAAAGCGGTTGCACCATTTTACATTCCCACCAGCAGTGCACGAAGGTTCCAATTTCTCTAAATCCCCATCAACATTTGTTATTTTCTGTCTTTTTTATTATACCATCCCAGTGAGTGTGAAGTGGTATCTCATAGTTCTCATTTGTATTTCCTTGTTGGCTGGTGATATTAAGTAGCTTAATTGGCCAAATTATATTCTCTTTGGAAAAAGGTCTATTGAGGTTCTTTGCCCATTTTTCAATTGGATTATTTGTCTTTTTGCTGTTGAGTTATAAGAGTTCTTTATATATTCTAGATATATTTTGCAAATATTTTCTCCCATTCAGTGAGTTGTCTTTTCACTTTCTCGATGGTGTCGCTTGAAGCACAAAAATTCAAAAATTTGTTGATGTCCAATTTTTTTTTTTTGGCCGCGCCGTGCAGCATGTGGGATCTTAGTTCCCCGAGCAGGGATCGAACCTGAGCCCCCTGCATGGGAGCTCGGAGTCTTAACCACTGGACCGCCAGGGAAGTCCCTTGATGATGTCCAATTTATGTGTTTTTTTCTTCTGTTACTTGTGCTTTTGCTATCATGTCTAGAAAGGATAGCTTAATCCAGGTAACAAAGATTCACCCTTATCTTCTAAGAGTTTTATATAGATTTATCCAAGTCTGACACCAATTCTGATGTGTTTTTTTGCCACACCATCAAGCAATCAACTCAATTCTTACACTGTCTACACCTGAGACAGCCTCAGATCCCACAGGTTAGGGGCCCAGTCCTACAAGTCCCACAAGAGTGCTCCCTCCTCCCCATTTCTGAGACCAGTCACAGGTCCAGGTTGTCATTTGTGCTTCTGACCTCCAGCCGTAGATCGGAGATTCCTCCGACCCCTCCTCAGGTTTGATTAGTTTGCTAGAGCAGCTCACAGAACTCAGAGGAATGATTTTTATGGAGGCTTTATTACGCAGTCATTGGCCATTAGCAATTGGGCTCAATCTCGAGCCTCTCTCCTCCCCTGAGGTGGGTGAGGGGGGTGGGACAGGGACCCCTGAGACCAAATGTCCCAACCTTCTAATCCTACTGTTGGTTCCCCTGGCAATGAGTCCTTATCCTCAGGTGACCTAAGGGCTTTCCGAAAGTCACCTTATTAACATTACAAAAGACACCTTTCTTTCTCTCTTTCTCTCTCACCCCTTAGGACATTCTTAGGAGAGCTCTGTGCAGGGAACAGGGAAGAAGACCAAATATATATATTTCTTATTGTAAATCACAGTATCACAAATTAGCTCTTACATGTAGAGCTTTGACTCAGCTTGAGTTGTATTTTGTATACGGTGTGAGGTAGGGATCCAACCTCGTTCTTTTGCATGCGGTACCCGGTTGTCCCAGTACCATGTGTTAAAAAGACTACCATTGGGAATTCCCTGGCAGTCCTATGGTTAGGACTCTGTGCTGTCACTGCTGAGGGCCCAGGTTCAATCCCTGGTCGGGGAACTAAGATCCCACAAGCCGTGCAGCGGCCAAAAAAAAAAAAAAAAAAAAAAGACTACCCTTACCTCATCAAGTTGTCCCAACATGCTGTCTAGGGCTTGACATTTTTACTGACTCACCTTGTCCCAGCTGCCATACTAGATGTGGCAGAAGTAAGCAAAACCGACCCCATCCTTGCCTTTGTAGACCTTCTGTTAGGGAAGGAGAACTGGAGGGACGGGGGAGAGACTGGAGGCAGGGAGGCTGTGTAAGGCATCCAGCAAGCAATGATGTGTGGGAGATTGGATAGGTGGCCCTTAGCGGGCAAAGCAGACAGGTCTGGGTGATGGGTGGAGGCCAAGGGAGAGAGACTCCCCATCTTGGGGTGAGAGGTCCCCCAGAGGCACGAGGAGCTGGTGGAGCTGGCTGAGGCCTCCCCTTTCCACCAGGGCATAGTGCCAGCCCTGCCTGGGCCTGGCTGATTAACCAGGGAGGGGGTGTCAGAGGTCTGGGAGAAGCCCCGGGTGATGGCAGGGAGGGCAGCCACCTTACTGCTTCTCCTTAGGACTCGGCCTTTCCTGAGTGTGACAAAATCACTTTCCCTGAAATTTATGGAGGCTCTTCAAGTCACAGTATCCTGGAAGGGCAGGGCCACGGGGTAAACCTTAAGGGCCTCTCCAGGCCAGGCCCATGCTGGGCACTGTCCCTTCCCTCAGGAAGCTTGAGTCCAGGAGGAACTGACGAGTGCTGGCAGAGCTCCCTTCTAGGAAGGCCCTGAGGAGGAGCTGATATTTCCTGAAAGATCCAGAGGAGGGCCTGGGTGAGCCACCTGCTGGTGCAGAGCTTGGAGGAAGAGAAGGCAGTCCTGGTGAAGAGGTGGTGGGGGTCGGAGTGTCCCTGCCGGAGGGGGGAGTTGGAAACAAGGAACACAGGCTTGGGTGGGAGACCTAAAGAGCTGGGGGCGGGGTCAGCAGGAGATGGAGGTGGAAGGATGACCGTGAAGAGCCAGGGCCAGGCCTAGCTCTCCTAGCTTCTGTCTCGGGTGGAAGGTGGGGTGAGGTGCTGTTCAGTTACCTTTTACTAATTTAAATACATGCAAATGATCAAAGAGAAGTGTAAGCACAGGTGGCTGTTGCGGGATGACTCGGAGCAAGGCTGGGACCCCAGGGTCTGAGTGTGAATCCTGGTTCCCTGACTTTTCCATCCCCAAAGAGGCCCATCAAGACTTGACCCCATGGCTTTGTAATCAGAGCTCTGGGAGCCACAGCCTGAGGCTTCTCTGTTGCCCTTTGAAGATAACAGGCCCATATTATTATCCATCTCCCCTGGAGATAGGGCATCGCCCAGGCCTCGGCTGTTGGGCAACCACCATCCTCCTTCCTTCCAAACACCAACCCCCCTCCCGCTCCTCCATAGAAGAGAGAACCCAGGGTCCCTATGAAGTGGTTCTTGAGGTCTGACACAAAACATCAGGGCCCTGTAAAGACCCCAGGTCCCCACCAAGAGACTGCTGTGGAGGAGAATCTATCATGCAATGGCTCTCTCTGGAAAGATGCATGTCCCATAGAGCTCCTGGCTTGGAAGGGTTCCCGTGGTAAGAATCCCCAAAGGGCAAAGAAAGGCCCATGAGGATCCCGCCTGCGGGAAGGATCAGCTCCCAGGAGACCCCCTGTGCAGACGCCGCCCCAGCCCCGCTATTCCATGTTGGCTCTTCCCATGTTTACCCTCCACGCGGTATCACAGCCGTCGGCTTCTGAGTGCACGTCTCCTTCCTCCGCCACAGCCAGTACATCAAGGCCTGCAAAATGGGCAATATGGACCAGGCCCTGTCCCTGTGGTTCCTCCTGGGCTGGATCGGCGGAGACTCCTGCAATCTCATTGGCTCCTTCCTTGCTGACCAGCTGCCCCTGCAGGTGGGCTGGTCCCCGGGCTGGGTGGGCTGCCAGGGACAGTCTGCAGAGGCTTCCATCTTCGAGGGCCCCATGCTATAGAGAGAGCCCTCTGCCTGCCGCACAGTGTGGGCCTCAGTTCCCCCATCTACAAAATGAGCACATCAAACCACAGGATGGCTGGGGTCTTTGACCTCTGAGGTGCTAAGATCCTGACTGAGCTTTCAGGGCATGGGGCCCTGGAGGAGGAAGGTTTTCCCTTGGGAGGCCCAGGTGCCATCATTTTTCTGTGGCTGGGTGGAGCTGGGACTCAAAATCAGGAATCTGTTGTCTTCCCAAGGGGGACTGTAAATTGCCCCTGTATCAGGCCAAATGGTAGCCTCCACTTAACCTCTGAGTCCCATTTTGTCCTGCCTGGTCATGCTAGCCACCGTTTCCTCTGTCTGCCCAGGCGGGCACCTGCCAGGCCCTTGCCTACCTGCTGTCTAGCTCTCCCAGGTAGGAACTGTGATCCCCTCCTTTCCAGATGAGCAAACAGAAGCTCCAGGAGGTGAAGCAACTTGCTCAGGGTCACCCAGCTGGGATGGGGCAGAGCTGCCCGGGTGCTGGGGTGTGGTCCCTGAGCCGGGGACTGCAGCCAGCGCCCTGGGCCCCCTCTTCTCTTGCAGACCTACACAGCCGTGTATTACGTCTTAGCCGACGTGCTGATGCTGTCGCTGTACTTTCATTACAAGTTTAAGAAACGCCCCTCTCTGTGTGAGTACGGGGATCCCTCTGTGTCAGGTGCCTGAGGGAAGCCGGGAGGCCTGGAAGTTTGGGAGGAGGAAGGTTTCCCATTGCTGGTGATAAACCAAACCTCAAAAAGGCTTCCTCGGGGGCTTCCCTGGTGGCGCAGTGGTTGAGAGTCTGCCTGCCGATGCAGGGGACACGGGTTCGTGCCCCGGTCCGGGAAGATCCCACATGCCGTGGAGCGGCTGGGCCCGCGAGCCATGGCCGCTGAGCCTACGTGTCCGGAGCCTGTGCTCCGCAACGGGAGAGGCCACAGCAGTGAGAGGCCCGTGTGCCGCAAAAAAAAAAAAAAAAAAAAAAAAAGGCTTCCTTGGGGCCTTATCTGAAAGCTGGGGCCCTGATCACCTGATGAGCCGAGATAGAGGGCAGTGAGTGCATCCGGGCAGGACCACAGGGAGTCCCCTTCACTTAAGTTCTCTCCTTCAGCAAACATGGCTTCAGCTGCTCCTCAGTGCCGGGCCCTGGGCTTGGAGCTGAGGAAACAAGTTCACGGCACACAGGATTCAGAAGGGGCAGATCCAGGGCTGTACAAGAAATGATCCAGGCACCTGGGGGTGGGGCTGTCTCAGCATTTCCACGCTCCATAATTCCCTTCCTGCCCCCACTGCCCTCATCAGCTTACCTTTACAAGCTTAGGAGAAGGGTACTCTCATTATACCCATTCTACAGATGAGGAATAAAGGCTCAGAGAGGTTAGGTCACTTGCCCAAGGTCACACAGCCACTGAGGGACAAGGCCAGGACTCAAAGCCCAGTCTGTCTGCTGCCACTCAGATCCCTAATCTCAGCTTCCCTCCTGCCTCATGTCCAGGGTCTGCCCCCATCAATTCTGTGCTGTTGTTCATCTTGGGGGTGGCGTGTACCGCCCCACTGCTGAGCAGCGCTGGCTTGGTGGCTGCCCCCAGGGAGGTCTTCCGGGGGCGGACGCTCTTGTCTGTGGAGCCGGGCAATAAGGTGAGGTGTGGGCACGCGAGAGTAGAGCAGGGGTGGGGGTCTGGCTCACCCCGAGGGCCCGCCCCTGCATGACCATGGGGTCAGGGGAATTGCCCTCGAGGAGGGAGTTGGGGCTCTCAGGCTGCACCCCGGCGCCTGCTGAGCACTGAGCACTCCACTCTGCCCTCTCAGCCCTTCACGCAGCAGGAAATCATTGGCTTTGTAATCGGCTCCGTGTCCAGCATGCTGTACCTGCTCTCCCGGCTGCCTCAGATCCGCACCAATGTGAGCCGCGGGCAGGGGCACTGGGGCCACGGGAAGAGGAGCCGGCTGGCAGCTTGGGCCCCTGGGTTAGGGAGTAGCAACAGGTCTGGTCCACACTCACTGTTGGCTTGGGTGACTGAATCCACTTCTCCAAGCCTCAGTTTCTGCCTCTGGAAATGGGCGTGAGATGCCTGCCATCCAGGGGTACATGTGACCTGCATGTGTCCCGGGGAGGTCGGAGGTCAGGTGAGAGCGAGGGGCTGAGAGCAGAGCAGAGAAGGTGGGGAACCAGAGATGGGGGAGCCTTGCTGGGCAGTGAGTCAGCGTAGGGCTGGGGAGCAGGCACCTTGGGGCGAGCAGGGTGGGGCAGCCCTAGTCTCTTGCGACCTGGGCAGGGTGGCCTGGGAGATGACGTTGGAACGGGGATGAGGAGTCAGGCCCTGGAAAGGGCTGATCTGGGCAGCAGGCCCGTGTCGGACACTGGTCACACCGTGTGCAGTCTGCTCGGAGCATGTGCGTTGTGACAGGGCAGACGGACACATGGACAGTTACAGTCCAGAGAGACAAGAGGCCCGTTTGAGGTCTCTGACCCTACACCTCTCGCTTCCAGTTCCTGCGGAAGTCGACACAGGGGATCTCCTACTCGCTGTTCGCCTTGGTGATGCTGGGGAACACGCTGTATGGGCTAAGCGTGCTGCTCAAAAACCCCGAAGTAGGCCAGAGCGAGGGCAGCTATGTGCTGCACCACCTGCCCTGGCTCGTGGGCAGCCTGGGCGTCCTGCTGCTCGACACCATCGTATCCTTCAGGGTGTGAGGGTGGGTGGGGTCGGGGGGGCCACAGCAGCCTCCGCCTGCACGTGGCTTCAGCATCCATCCATCCATCCATCTTTCCTTCCATCCATCCATCATCCATCCATCCATCCATCTATCCATCCATCCTTCCTTCCATCCATCCATCCATTCTTCTATCCATCCATCCATCCATCCATCCATCCTTCTATCCATCCTTCCACCCATCCATCCTTCCATCCATCCTTCCATCCAGTCCATTCATCCATCCATCCTTCTGTCCATCCGTCTGTCCGTCCATCCACCCATCCATCCTTCTATCCATCCATCCATCCATCCTTCCATCCATCCATCCTTCCATCCATCCATCCACCCATCCATCCATCCATCCATCTGTCCATCCAAGAGCCAAACCTCCCATGTGCTGGGCACCCCTCCAGGTACCAGATCTATTTGTGAGTAAGAACAGAATGGTCCTTCCTTCAAGAAGCTCACAGTTCAGTGGGGAGGCAGACAGGATATGCGTAATCATAAATAATTACTTCACTGTGGTGCCACTGAGTAGCACAGAGAAAAACTGCAAGAGTGTGTGACCAGGGGGCTGTCTGTCCTGGTTTAGAGGCTCAGCAGAGGCCTCCACTAGTGCCATTGAAACTGTGCCCTGAAGGAGAAGTTAGGCACAGGAGAGGGAGGGATGTTCCTGGCACAGCTTGTGCAGAGGGTCTGGGGAACAGGGCATAAATCAGCCCATCCAGGCAGGAGGAAGGAAAGCTGCAATGTGGAGACACACACACGTGAATTAGAGATGGAAAAACTTGAGTTCAAATCCTGGCTCCCCGGTGTCCTGTGTGACACAGAGCAAACCGTTAGCCTCTCTGTGCTTCCATGTCTTCATCTTGCTGTCTCACCAAGGTCATGGGGCAATTACATAAGCTAAGGTCTCTGGAAATACCCAGCACCGGACCCAGCACACAGTGAGTGCTCAGTAAATGTTTGTTTGCTGGATGGCTGAGCAGGGCATTATTTGCATCTCCTTTGGGAGGAGGTAAACGGGGCCCTTGTTTCGACATTTGCGGAGTTCCTGGTGGGTGCAATGAGAGATGAAGAAAGTTAAGCTCTAGTGCCCCAAAATGGCCCCTGCCACTTGCTGAAACCCCCAGGATTCTGTAGGGTGAGAGGAGGGCAAGATCCTGGAGCTAGGGTCAGGGGAGGCTGCCTGGAGAGGAAGACCCAAGCGCTGGACTTGGCAGATAAATGGGGTTTGGCCGGTTGAGGGGTGGGAAGGCAGCAAGAGCAGAGGCCAGGAGGCCATGGCTGACCCTGCCCACCTGGCCGAGTTGCAGGGAGGGAAGAGGGCAGCAGTTCTGGATGGGGCCACAGGCCACCCTGGGGCAGGTCCGACGCAGGCTGTGCTCCGTTTGGCCTTGACGTTGACTCCTTCGGATCTCCATACAGTTCCTGGTATACAGGGGTACCGCCACCTCATCAGAGCGCCAGCCACTCCTCCCCAGCTGAGCAGGACCCAGACCCAGGCCAAGCCCAGGATGACGGGGACCTGCAGATGCCACACTCAGGAAGGGAGAAGTATGGGCAGTGACGGTGCTGCTGACCCTGGGCTGGGCCGTGGAGGAAGCTGGGGGTGCCTAGAACTCCCGGCCCGACCGCCTACCCCCAACACTTCCGAAACGTCGTGAGCTGACCCTTCCGGAAGCCCTGACTGACGGACTCTTCCAGGAGCAGGTCAGCCCCCAGGGCCAGCCCACCCCGCCTTGGGATTCACCCCCAGGGTCTGAGGCAACTGTCCCTGGAGCCTGAAGGGAGGGCCTGCAGCCGAGAACTCGCCTCTCAGAAGACAGTGCAGCTGCCCCTCAGCTCACCTACCTCATTCTGCCTGCTTCCCCCACCCAACCGCCTGGGGAGGAGCCCAGCTCAGCCTGGTGCACCCTGGACTGTACAGTCGACTGCAGATGGCCTAGTAAACGGTACTCCCTGTGAGGCCCGTCCTGGTGCTCCTTTCCTGGTGCCAGGCTCTGCGCTGCTCTGGGGCACAGTGATGGATGGCGATCGGGGTCCCACCTACAGGCCCCAGGTGGGGGCCTAAGGGGGTCAGGATGTGGGAGAGCCAGGCCAGAGGGTACTGTGTCTGCTGGCCCGCCCCTGCCCAGCCTCTTGGGCCTCCAGTTTCTTCAACCTGCTTCTCTGTGACAGGCTCCACACCTGGTGGTGGGGACACAGCAGTGAGAAAGACACTCCTCCAACAGGATCCCTGCTCCGCGGTGCTCAGCAAGAAGCGGAATAGTTAAGGTTCAGACTTTGGTTCTGCATCTCAACTTCTCTGTGCCACAGTTACCTCATCTGTGCAATGGGATGACAGTATTACCACTTTATACGTCCTTCTAGGGATTAAATAAAATGGTGTGCTTATGGATGTTAGCCCTGAAGTCTGGCTCTGAAGTCTGAAGAAGGAGCTCATTGAAGGTTAGCTTTGATCATTTTTAGTTGGAGGAGAAGGACAACCAGATATCCCTGGAAATCAGGGAGACCTTCCTGGAAGAGGTGACATGGCAGAAGGACAGTCAGAAGATAAACGGGGAAGGTGCCAGTGTTGCAGGCGGGAAGGGTGGAGAGGAGGGCAGGGCTGAGCCCCGAGCTCTAGTTCCTGTGCCCCAACTTTAGTTTGCCTCCCAGACCCCAACCTGAGTCCACTTTCTTCTTGGCCACAACCCCATGCATGCCTGAGGACGGAGGGGCCAGCTCCCCTCCCTGATGGCCTGCTGTCTCACCTCTCCCCCCCCCCCCCCCCCCCCACACAGCCGGTCCCGGGAGCCATCAGGGTGGGTGGTGCCAGGTGCGGCTAAGGCTGGTAGGGAGGAGCTGGGGCTCAGCGTGAGCCTCTCTGTTAGAATCTTCCTCTTCCAACCGTGGAGAAAGGAAGGAGCCCGGCCACAGGGCTGTAGCCTCGGCCGCGAGGGGACGCCTGCCCCGGTTTGGTGCCACAAGTATTTGCCAAGCGCAGCTCTCCTCTCCACCCTGGCCCACGCTGTGCTGGGCATCTGGGATGGGGGTGAACCAGCTCTGGTCCCTGCCCTCAAGGAGGGGAGACGGTTGCCGGGCCTTAGAGGGAAGGACTGTAACCAGAAGGTACAAAGTGCCATAGGGATGAGGCGACTCAACCTGGGAAGGCTTCATGGAGGAGTGGCCCGGGAGCGGAATCTTGAGAGAGAGGGAAGGGTGTGTGCAAAGGCCTGGAGATGGGAGTCAGGGCTGCTCCCAAGGTGGGGCTGGAGTGAGGATGGTGGGGGCAGGGCCAGCCACCAGCGCTCACAGCAGGTGACCTGGTTTGGTTGGGGGAAGAGGAGGAGGGAATGGGGGTCTGGGGAGGCCAAGGAGGGGGGCGCCTCAGGTTCAGATGGGGAGTGGGGCGAGTGGGGTGCAGCGCCTCAGCCCTGTCCTGGGTGGGCCTGCAGAACCCTGGGTGTCACCTGGCCTGCAGCTGACGTTTATTGAGCACTTGCTGTGTGCGGGGCGGGGCGGGGCTGGGCTGTACCCTCGCTCGGTCCCCACAACCCCCACTGCGGTAGGTGGCGCAGGTGCAGTCATCACAGCCACATGACAGATGGGAAAGCAGGCTCTGAGGAACTAAGCAGCTTCCCCAAGGTCCCCCAGCTATGAGTGGCAGCTGTTCTATCCACATGAGGTCCCTCAGCTGCGGGGGCCATCCCACACCCGGCCCTCGGAGTCCCATCCCTGCCTCCGCCCTTGGCTGGGGGTCCAGGGCTTCAGGCCGGGTGCCGTCCAGCCTCACCCTTGTCCTCGGGGGCGGCGCAACCCTGCTGTGCTCAGGCCCCCTCCCCACTGTTCTGAATGGTGCCTCCCACCCCCAGGGCCCACGCCCGCCCCAGCTGGCTCAGTGCCCTTTGCAGCCAGTATCTGGCTCTACCCAGGGCCGTGACCTGGCTGAGTGCCCTTCTGGCCTGAGGACCTGGGGGCTCAGCTTGGCAGTGTGAACCCAGGTGTGGGCCTGGGCTCGAGCTGGGTGGGGAAGAAAGAACGCGATGTCACAGCCCCTGCCCTGGTGGGGGTGATGGGGTGATGGCTCTTGCTTGCAGGCACCACCCAGTCTGCCGAGAGCTGTGGTTCCTTCCTCCTCATGAAAGCCCCAGTCCGATGGGGGAGACACTGGCACGCCCTGTCTGATGGAGGCCGTCGTGGCAGTGGGTAAACGGGACAGGCTTGCAAGCCTGTCGTGCCGGGTGAAGGCTCGTCAGCATGTCCACCAGTACTGGGACCCTCCCCGTGTTCCTCCCAAAGAGCAGAAGGGCCAGTGTGACCATCAGTCAATTCCACTGTCCGGACTGGGCCGTGCTCACCGGCTGGTGGGGTCCCTGAGGTGCAAGGTCCTGGGTGGACTGCCTTTCTCCCCTGGCTGCAGGCAAGCGTTGGTAGGGCCTTCACCTCTAGGTGTGGCCTGAAGGGATGAGAACCTTCCTCCCACCCGAAGTGTGGACCTAGCATTTTGGTTTCAGGCCCAGGCTCTGCACTTAACAGTTGCCCTGGTAACTGGTCCAGGAGGATTTCTCCCTCGGGACCCACACGGGGAGCAGGAGGCTGGGCCAGTCACCCCCAAAGATCCCTGCCTTGGCGGCTTTACATGTCAGCTATTTTTAATTTTTTTTTATTTTTTAGTTAATTTATTTATTTGGCTGTGTTGGGTCTTTGTTGCCGCACGTGGGCTTTTCTCTAGTTGCGGCGACCGGGGGCTGTTCTTCGTTGTGGTGCGTGGGCTTCTCACTGCGGTGGCCTCTCTTGTTGAAGAGCACGGGCTCTGGGTGCGCGGGCTTCAGTAGTTGTGGCACGTGGGCTCAGCAGTTGTGACTCGCGGGCTCTAGAGCGCAGGCTCAGTAGTTGTGGCGCACGGGCTTAGTTGCTCCGCGGCACGTGGGATCTTCCTGGACCAGGGCTTGAACCCGTGTCCCCTGCACTGGCAGGCGGATTCCTAACCACTGTTCCACCAGGGAAGTCCCTTAGCTATTTTTTTTTTAATTTTAATTTTATTGGAGTATAGTGGGTTTACAATGTTGTGTTAGTCTCAGGGGTACAGCACAGTGATTGTCGTACATTCGTTTTTCAGATTCTTTTCTCGTATAGGTTATCACAGAACACGATTCTGAGTAGAGTTCCCTGTGCTACACAGTAGGTCCTTGTTGGTTATCTGTCTTATGTATAGTAGTATGTGCATGTTCACCCCAAGCTCCTGATTTATTCCTCCCCTTCGGTAACTGTTAAGTTTGTTTTCGATATCTTTGTCTGTTTTGTAAATAAGTTCATTTGCATCTTTTTAAAAGTTAGATTCCACATACGAGTGATACCATATGGTATTTGTCTACGTGTCAGCTATTGAATGAGATGCCGTCTATGAAAATGCCTGGGGCACCCCAAACCTCAAGGTGGGGGGCAGGCAGGTGGCATCTACAAAGAAGGACTAGCCCACAGACCCATCCTCAGTGCCCGGCCCCAGGCCCTCCCAGCCCAGGGTCCCCTTGGTTACTTAGCGAACCTGGGATTTTTTTTTTTTTTTTTGCCACTCATGGCATGTGTGATCTTAGTTCCAGGCCGCATATCCCAGTGGGAGCAGGCTGTCTGCCTCTGCTTGTTCTGAGGCTTCAGAGCAAAGGCCGCCCCCAGGCCCAGTGACTGGCTCAGTAGATGCTGGACACAGGTGCCCTTTTTCTTCCAGCCTCTTTAGGGCTCACTGGTTCCCAGGAGCAGAAGCCCACTTGCTAAGCAAGCAGCAGAGGCTCTCGGCCGGCTGTGGGCTCACAGGAGGGAAGGTTAAGAGGTGAGTCATCGGTGTCTGGAAGGACAGGACAGGCACTACAGCTCCGGGAATCATTCCTGGTGGGAATGAAATGGCACTGTTTCAGCATCAGTCTCTCAAGAGAGCATCGTAACTGGCCTACTGTGGGTCACCCGGTGGGGATGAGGGAACGCCATGGCCCCACCGCACCGAGGCTGCGGGGAGGGGGTGGCACCAGAGAAGCAAGAGGGGCCGTGAACAGGTCCACAAGGCCTACGCCACCCCTCGGGCGGGTAGGGTCCCACAGAGCAGGGAAAGGACCGAGCCAGGGGCACACTCTCCTCTTCTGCCACTTGGGTCCGGCTGCCCCTCACTGAGGAAACCCGGCCTCAGGGCCCAGTGTCCCTAAGCTCACTGGCCTGACTTAGCAGCAAAAGACAGCAGTGATGGCTCTTCCAGTGATGGAAGACTTTAGAAGAGTAAGATCAGGCCTGGCATACATCACAGTCACAATTCCTGGCTTCCAAGTGTTATTTTGGTCACGTGATCGAACACCTGATAAACATGAACTCATTTATCTGTGCCAAGCACTCTACCACGAGGATGTCATTTCCATTGGAGAAGGGCTCTGGGTCCACTGACAGAGCTCCGGCCTTCACCTGTCCGCCTCCCTCATCTTCTCCACCTGAAGTTCCTTGAAAGGAACTGCACGCAGGTGTCTCTCCTGTTCCCCGTCTCTATCTCAGTGGTACTCTGCACTCAGTAAAGATGTGCCCCATCTGGGAACTTTCTCATCGGACCATGCAGAGAGGAGCTGGGCCCAAGGATTCGGGGACAGGCGTGTCAGGACCCAGGTACCTCAAACCAGAGGGGCTTCACTGGGGTGTGGGCCCGACTGCCCTGCCAAGCTGCCCTGGTGTCAGCCGGGAGAGCACGGACTACGGCTCGGAGGGACCTTGGGCACGTTAACCCCAACCTGTTTGCCCACGTCACCCAGGGCTGTGAAGATGGCGTGGGACGAGTGTGGACATGACTGCGCAGAGCAGGTGTTTGCTGAAATGAAAGGGGAGGGGGGGGAGAGCCCCCATCCCATCACACCTGATGATGGGATGGCCCCAGCTGTTCAGGACAGGTGGGGCAGGGTCTGCGCGGAGCGGGGGCCCAGAGAAGCCGCTGGAGATCTGCAAGGACCCCCTGCTTGCTCACCACGTGGGCCCCACGCCCCCACTGGGGTCAGCCCTCCCAGCCGAGCTCACACATGCTTGGACAGCGAGGCAGGCAAGAAAGAACACAAGGCCAGTGCTAACTGCATCCCAGTTTCTTTTTATTTATTTTTTTTGTTCTTTTTTTCCTTTTTTTTTTTTTAAGTATGGAAGCTCAAGTATAAGATGTAGATTTTTTTTTAAGCTTTACAAAAAAACAAAATAAAACAAAAACTCCTTTTGCATTCCATAAAAATTGACAGAAAAGCACCTGGCCAGAAGAGCAGGACGGTCCGCAGGTCCCCGCCCCCCACCGTGTGGTCTCCGTGGGACAGGGGCCAGGCGTGCGGGACGACGCTGAGGGCCACCTCTCCTTTCTCCCAGAGCTGTCCCCTGTCCCCGCCAACCCCCAACCCCAAGCAACTCCCAAACACGCGTGGAATCAGATTTCCAGTTTTTCTTCTATCTTTCACACACCACAGTTATTTCATAAAATTTTTTTGTTTTACATTTTTTACACCAATGTAACAAAAGGGTGGGAGGGAAGGGAGGCAGACAGACAGTGTATTTTATGCCTATAAATGGGTGGTGGTGGAGAGACGGGGGGGCCGGGGCAAACAGAAAACATGGTTTCTATGGAAATACTGAGTTTTGATAGCAAAATGTGGTGGGAAGTAGGCCTCAGAGACAAGAAGGGTGTTCATAGGGTTTATTCTCAGGGAGACATGGCGCTGTGCAGTGGTGATGCAAGTTGTTGTGTGACCTGGGGGGGCGGGGAGGAAGGGACGAGGGAGGGAGCAGAAAACGAGTTTCTAAGAAAGGAATCTAGTGAGCGCACGGCGGCGTGTCCGGTTAGTTGGGAAGAAGAGGCTTAACACTGCTGCTTTCTCTTCAAAGCCTCCACCAGGTCGTTCTTAAGAGCTTCTTGTTTTGATTTGTCTGCAAAAGTCTGCACAGACCTGCCCGGGGAGAAGAATTGTCATTAGCAGGCTGAACAGGAAGAGTGCAGCGGCGAGGGGCCGAGGGCTGCCCTGCCGGTGCGTCCAGGGCGAGGGGCCGGGTCACTGGGCTGGGTGCCCCCTTCCCCATCCTCTGGGAGTGCGAGCTGCAAGCTGTGCGGAGGGGGCAGAGGGGCCCAGAGCCCGAGGCCGGCCCCGCGGGGGAGGCCACGGCCCACCTCTGCACCAGGCTGGGCATGACCTGGACTCTGGGGCACAGATCCCAATGTCAGCCTGAATCAGAAGTGGGCCTCCAAGCACGCCACAGCAGAGACCGTCTGTGCTTCAGCCCAGCTGTGGACTCAGGCCAGAGGCCGAGAGATAAGGACCCCGTTACAAAGCATGGCGTGCAGGGCTGGCCACCCGGCGAGCATTAGGAACCGGCACCTCGGACGTCTGAGCCCACTGCCTGGGCAGCACCTGCGGGCAGGCACTTTTAGGCTTCGGCTGCAAGGCACCATCAGCTGTTAACTTGGCCAAGAAAATCCCTCAGCCTGAACTTCAAGAGGCAGGAGGGGACAGGTAAGTGGCCCTGGGTCGCTGCTGTCAAATCCTGAATTTGTGGGGAAATGTTCACGGGAGTGCACTTACACACAGGTTAGACAGAGCGAACAACAGCTAACCTCTGTAGAGGTTGTACAGTTTACAGAGTGCTTCTCAGGCACACTTCACTCTCACAAGCATTCTGGAGGGGTCTGAGCATTATTCCCAATTTACAGATGAGGAAACTGAGGCTCAGAGAAATGCTCCTGGCAATGACCTTAATGATCACTTTGTCAGATTTCCTCGATGTGTGGGTTAACCAGGAACTTCCTAAACTATTTATAAACTTCCTAACAGTTTCAAAGCAGTGGAAAGAAAGAGTGGAAGGCTACCTTGCAGGAATGCTGTGGAGCCACGGGAATGTCACGCTTGACACGCACTGGCCGTGAAACAGAATGGGAAGGAGAGACCAAAAAATAATCCCCCCCCCCCCCCTGAAATTGGGGGAAATACAATGAAGTAGGACCCAGGAGCATCCCACGTGGAATTCTGGCTACTGAGTCCTAGAAACATCATGGGAAGTGCCCTCAAGATGGTAAAGAGGGAGGCAGAGACGAGGCTCTGAAAGAGTCTATGTGCAGCTACAAAAATTCCCATGAGACACGCTGACATTTTTGGTTGACGCTGCTGAATACACATTTCTGAGTGTCCGCTCCGCTCCGCTCCGCTCTGCGACGGCCACAGGAAGGGTCAGGCACCAGCCCTGGTGGCCCTCGGGCTGCAAACCTCAGCCAGCCCACCACGGGCTTCTGGAAAGCTCCCAATGGGAGGCTAACTTGCCCAGTGGGAGGATGCGGTGGGCGAAGTGGTGGCTCCCACGGCACCCCGGCCCGACTGGGTGCTGGCTCTTCTGGGAAGGAGCACGCCAGGCCTGGGCTGTACCCAGCCCCCCGCTACCCCCCCAAAGGAGAAATTTCCAGAGTTAGAACCAGGTAAGGAACAGGAGGTTAGGCTTGGAACGGCTGGAGGTGCAAGGAGCAGGACCCTCGTTTAGGGAAAGGAGCTCGGGAAGGTCACTGCCAAGCAGCTCGGAACCAATGCCTGGAGGTGGGAAGGAGGGCCTGTCCTGGACAGAAGGTGCCAGGCTGCCCACTGCTGCAGGAGATCTATGTCAGAAAGCCTCCAGTGGGTGGCCACAGGACTAGCCGAGGTGAGGGATCCAGAAGATTCTAGACCCACCCTAAAAGCTGAGGGGCTGGAGAGGAAACTGCACCATATGGAACGCCTTAAAAGGGGGTTTCTTAATGCTCTGATGGGAATGTAACGGTCCGAGCACGAGGCTGGAGGCTGACAGATGCCCCAGGCCTGATGCTGGCACACACACAGACCAGACTGTGCTGCGGTCCCACGGCTGCAGAAGAGCCGCTCCGCCTGGTTGCACAGGTGCCCCACCTCTGTCCCCCACACTGGGCCTCTCCCGGGTCAGGGTCTCCGAGTCCAGCCCCTGGGCCTGGGAAGAAGCCCCTAAGCCCAGGCCCTATAGCCCTGCCCAGCTGGGTTTCCAAACGCCTCTTATTAAAACCAGTTTCCCTTCTCCTCTCCGGGGATGCTGACTGCTTTCACACATCTGTATCTGTCACTAGCTCAAGTCATGGTCCTCGGCCATCGTCTACAGCCAGACTGCTGCCCCTCCATCGGCGTAAGGCATTTAGGAGGACAGCTGCAGCTCGCTAGGGGCAGAGGGTTATGCCGGTCCCGGCGGCTCCAGCGGCACCCGGTCTTGGGGGCACCAGGCCCAGCCCGGGGATTACAGCCGCACTCTGTGTTCCATCCTCAGACTCAGGACGATACACCGCCCCCTTTTAGGTCGGCTAGCCCCAGTCAATCTCCCACCGAGAAGGGGGCTCATCTGGCTTCTGGGATCCTTGGTGGACAGCTGGCGAAGACCCGGCTGCACACACAGCAGAGAGGCCGCCAAAGCCGCCGGCCAAGCGGGAGGCCACCGGGAGCGGCGCAGGCGAGCGGCTCCTGCCGGAGAGGCGACGGTGATGCCCGGCGATGCCCGGCCTGCTCAGGGGCAGAAGCCCAGACGGCCCGCCCTCACACGCGGCCCCGCCCAGAGTGCAAAGCACACACACCGCACACGTGATTCAGGTCCGTGTAACGCGGGGCGTGGCAAGTGTGCACGTTAAGGGGGCTGCTCCCAGCCGAGCGGACACGGGGTTAGTGGTGTTTAAGGGTCCGGCGGGGTCTTGGCGGGCTGGTGAGTCCTGTTTAGTGGGGCGGCGCTCAGGCCTCTCAGGCAGGGTACCTGGAGCGGCTTAATTATCAGGCTGGATGTGGCTCTGGCGCTGCGTCAGCACCTGGGAAAGCTCCCTCTGCAGCTGCGGGAACTTGGGGTTGGCGGGGATAACGTCAACAGATCTACAGAGAGTGCACAGAGGTGAGTGCAGCGGGAGGGGGAGGACGGGGCCCAGGAGCACACGGGGCGACAGCTGAGAGGACGTGCTGGGGACACACAGGCAGAAGAGAGAGGGGAGCGTCACCAAGGCCGCTGCCGCTCAGGGGCTGTGGTGGGGAGGTTCTGGCCGCGGGGCTCTTGCGGGCGGCAGTCACGGTTTTCAGGGGCTCAGGCCACCACCCCGCAGGCTCTCTGCGGCTTTCTCCGATTTGTCAGCCAACGCCCGGGGACCCTGCAGGCCAGGCGGGTGTGTGGCTGGCTCAGGGGCCCCAGGCTCAACAGCCAGAGGAGAGCAATGCTCTGGGGGTGGAATAAAACCCACTGGGGGCCAGACCACGTCCCCCACAGGCAGGGAGGAAATCAGAAAGGTGATGAGTCCAAAGTGGGCCCCATCTTTTAAAACTCTATGAGTGAAAGACTAAAACATCTGTCTCCTGGACAGATTAACAAACCAGAGCTGCTTCCTGCCTCTCCTTGTTCCCAAAGGAGAGATCTGTCCACAGTGGGGGACTACAGGAAACCACGGGCAGAGCGTTAGCCCCTGGACCCGCGTGGTGGTGTAGGGCCGCACACCGGCCTCCATCCCACCCCTCCCTTCGGCAGCCCTGCTCCTGGACGGCCGGAGGGCCACTGGGAGTCATCCCTGGTCGAAGGTCACACGGCTCTGGCTGACAGAGGCTGCATGAGATCCCGGCCTCCCGACTCCAAGGCCCGTCTCGCTCCACAGCGGCCTCCACTACCCACCCCCCCAAAGGGGCTCTGGCCTCCTACCCTGCCCACCATGACCTTGAGGACCCAGCGAGCCCCTGAGCCCCCTTCGGCCTTCACTTGGGCCGACACTGAAGAACGGAGGGCACAAGACGCGTGGGGAGGGGCAGCCAACAGCCCTGAGAGGACCCCAGGGTGGCGGGTCCCTCTCCAGAAAGCAGCAGGTCGGGGGGCTCTTTCTGTGCTGGTGGTGTCATGCCCTCCTGCGTCTTAGGGTCTGATCTGGAGGTATCCTCAGGCCCAGGAGCCAAAGGGGCCGGGCAGATTCTTTAGGTGGGACTCAGCCTGAGGGACCGAGATGTGACTCCAGGGACAAGGGCACGGATGTTGTTAAGGTGAATGGGCCCCAGGAAACAGAAATGGTGCAAGTCTACTCTGATTCCCACATCTATCCTGAGTACACACTCTGTATGCCGGGCTTTACCCTTGCAAAACTTGCATTAACAACCCTATAAGGAGGATAGATACCTCAGCCCTGGTTTACAAAGGAGGAAACAGAGGCCCAAGGCCATAGAGCTCTTAAGCAGTGACCTAGGATTCAAATCCACACCTTTTTGGTTCCAAAGCCCATGCTTTGGGGTACATTACCTTAGCCCATTAACGATGTCCTTTGTTTTTCCAAAGTAGATCTCATTCAGCGTACTTCTGATTTTATTTTCCATGTCCTGGAAAAGGAGGCCGGTGAGACTGACGGGAACGCCCTCCCTCCTCCCGCCCGCGCCCCTGCAGTCCCCGCTGTGACCGCAGGGTGGAGGCACGTGAGTGTGTGCCCTGAGCGCCTCCCCATCCTGGCGCCCAGGACGCCAGTACCAAGTCCCGGTGTCCCAGGCTGACCCTCACTGGGAGCTGGCCCACCCCACTCAACCACCCGCCAGCCCTCCCCCCAGCTCTGTGAACAATCCCGTGCAGCTGGAGAGCACCCCCTTCTTCCAGGTGGCGTGGGGAAGGGGGAGCTGAGGTGTAGTTCAAGCTCCCCCTCCAGAGCCCACTGGTGTTCCCGGGATCTGCTTCCCGTCTGAGCTCAGGTCTCCGCTCGCACCCACTGGACGGGGGGAGACAGGACTTAGGACCTCCCGAGCTGAGTCGTCAGGGTGCATGTGTTTGGGGGACAGTAGAGGGGGTGCCTCTGGAGCTGGGCCCTGCTTGCGTCCAAATCAGAAGGCTCAGGAAACACGAGGCCAGGGCAAAACATGAGAAATGCGCTGCTGGCTGCTGCGGAGCTGCGAGGGAGCAGCAAGGGAGGCCGGCAGCCGGGCTCCAGGGGCGAACGTCCCATGCGGTGGAGGCGAACCGTGGCAGCAGGAGGCCCACTCACCTCGACCAGGCGCCCGATGTTGGCTATGTGCGGGGAGCAGTCGCTCACGGTTTCATCCTTCTCCATCTGCAAAGAGACAGAATGTTCCTCTAGGTCAGAGAGCCGGGTGAGGGCCCAGGGCCTGTTCTCCCTGCTGGCAGGCCCGGGGCCAGCTGGCGGGGGTTGAAGGCCACTTTTCCAGTGAGGGAGCCCCAGCACAAAGCAACCCAAGTTTCAGGTCGCAGACAGTCCGGCCCGCAGAAGCCCTGAGGCCCCGCTTCCAGGGGAGAGTCTCGCTCCGCCCTTGTGGAGCACACCCCACCTCCACCTCCACAGCCCACAGCAGGGAGGGCACAGGTGACCACCCCTGCCAGGCACAGGCTCAGCTTGGGGCCTGATGTCACAGATGAGCCCCCAAAGTGCCGTGCCGCTGCCGTGCCTGTGTGGCAGCTACGGAGGGAGGGACCGGCAACCCGGGCGTCAGGAGACTCCGAGGCTCAGACAGATGGGGTGGCCTGCCCAAGGTCACACAGGGAGTGACAGCAGAGCCTGGGTCAAAGCCATGCTTACTTCCAAGCCTACATTCCTTCTACTGTGTGAGGCTGCAAGGCCGGCCGAGTGACCGTGTGGAACATGAACAAGGGAATCTCAATCCGCATCCCTGGTTACGACAGAGGGGGTTTAAGAGGAGGTGGGATCCAGCGGGCCAGTTCTGGCCCAGGGATCAGTACTCTGAGTATTAAAAGGAAAGGGGGCAGGGAGGGGAGAAGGCACTGATGACCCTGACACGAGCGCTGAGTCATGACGCATGCGGAGCTCTCCCCCAACTTCCACCCTGTGTTTAAGGCTTACTTCCCTCACAAGATTATACATTCCTTAAGGGCAGATGTATGTACCTGTTTTACACTTCACAGGTGCCTAGCAGAGTGCTAAGTGCATAAACACTGTTTAAACTGAGTGGAAGTGTAGCTACGGTCACCACTGTTATTTATTTATTTAGAAAGATTTATTTATTATTAATTCATTAATTTATTTTTGGCTGCATCAGGTCTCAGTTGCGGCACGGGGGCTTTTTGTTGCAGCATGCGGGCTTCTCTCTAGTTGTGGTGTGAGCAGGCTCCAGGGTGGGTGGGCTCTGTAGTTAGCGGCACGCAGGCTCTCTAGTTGAGGTGCGCGAGCTCAGTAGTTGCAGCGTGCGGGCTTAGTTGCCCCACGGCATGTGGGATCTTAGTTCCCTGACCGGGGATTGAACCTGAGTCCCCTGCATTGTAAGGCGGATTCTTTACCACTGGGCCACCAGGGAAGTCCCTCACCACTGTTACTGAAATAAAACCTGGAAGCTGAGGCAGTCTGGGGGAGAATGGCTGCATGTATACGTGTGGTTGAGTCGCTTTGCTGGGCACCTGGAACTATCACAACGCTGTTGATCAGCTAAACATCAAATACAAAGTCTAAAAAAATACAAAGAAATCTGGAAGCTGAAATAGGCAATCAAGAAACAGCATGAGAAGACAGGAACTGGATCAGGAAGGCTAGAGCTCAAAATGAATTCAGACTAGTGAAAAAAGCAGAGCAAAGGTGGAAGGTTAACTACCTTGAGCACCGGAAGAAAGGGGCAGAGGCCTGGGGTGCGTCTGTTCGGAGGCTAAAGGCCTCTGCCCAGTCTCACCTGCTTTTACTTCTCTTACCCATTAGGGAGAGTGACTTCCAGGCTGGGAAAGGTAGAAAAGACCCAGTTAGGAGGGAGACAAAGCCGCAGATGGTAGGACAGAACCAAGTCGCTTTAAATGATTAAGTTTCAGGGTCAGAAAAATCCGATTCTGTGACAGAGACATCCCTGAAAAGTTACGGCACACTTCAGAGGTGCCAGAACACTGGCGGAGGGCAGAGGCTGACCCCACTTCCGTAACAGAAGGAAGAGTGGAGCTGGAAGTTAAACACTGGCTTGACGCTGATCCAGACAACCATTTTTGATGGGACCGTTAAAAAAATCATCTGTTGGCACACTTTCAAATCAGATTCTCCAGGAGCCAGCACGGGCTCGCTATGAACTGACCTGCTGCGAGACTCTCCAATTGCCTATTGAGATGGGGATGCTGGGCTGAAGAACAGAGGGCTCCTCTAAGATCACATCACTGTGGCAGGTTCCCATCTAAGATCCTGTGGCCGAGGCTGGACGACAGCCCGCTCATGTTCCCAGGGTGGCCTCCAGGGCATCTCGCACGATTCTCTACCTGGCCCTGGGTCTACCTGTTTGTCCAGGACTTAAAGAAAGGCACAGCGCAGAGGGTTCACGGGATCCTATTGCCAGCATCAAGGGTGGAGGTGATGAGACCCCGAGACACGGGTCAGCTGCAGAGCACAGCACTCCCTGGCGGCAGCGACCTCACTCCACCTGGTCCTCCTAAGAACCACTTTAAAGCCGAGGAAGCCGAAGCTTAAAGGTGTCAGGTGCTCTGCCCAGATGACAGCCCCGCCTGACCCCGCAGCTCTGCTCCTCCAGCCCCAGCGTGCTGACTACCTTCACCAGGGCAAACGCAAACCACCTGCTTTGGCTCAAACATTAATCTCACCGAGAACAAAATGAGGAACAAGCCCAGTGAAGAGACTTGTGGGTTTTAGGTGATTTCAAGCTTGACAAGAACGTGACGGGACCAAAAGGAAGCTACATTACTGGAGCCCAGCTCCGGGGCAGCGCCCCCACCACACGACGAAGCTGCAGGGGCGAGGCTGCGACACCTGCTGAGGGAGGGCCCCCCGCTCCGTCCTTCCGTCCAGCCCAGCCACGTCCACAGGGCTGGACGCAGTCTGGGCTTTCAGAGAGCCACGGGCGAACTGGAGTCCTTCTGCTTAAAAGGTCTGAACACCCTGACCCCAAGAAATGGGAAAGAATTTGGATATCTCAGGCCGGGAGGGGAAAGACTCGGGAGGTCCTGGCCATGCTCTGAGGGCCCGGCTGTCCAGCAGGGGCATGTCCGGCAATCCATGTCATTGCCAAGGGGCGACGGAGCTCTCTGTTATTATATCTGCATGTGCTCACAGAACAATGAGCCCTGGGTCCCTGCAGGTGTCTGGGGAGAAGCGGGGTGGCCATTTGTCAAGATGCTACAAGAGGGGGATCTGGAGTAGAGAGATGGTCTGGAACCCACGGCCTTGCAAGGCCCTTTCGAAGCCAGGAGACTAAGTCTCAGAGTGAAGACGCCTGGTTCTGGCAAGACCGTCTGGCTGAGGGCTGGCCAAACAGGAGACACTGAGTGAGATGCTAAAATGATCGGCTGCTCTGCCCCCAATACCGGGCCCTGAGCCACCCCGGGCACTCTGGCCAGTGATCCTGGGGAGTCTCGCTCAGGGGTTGACACAAGACAGGAGGTGAGCGTGCCCACCAACTTCAAAGTGAAGTCACACCCCACCGTTTCAGGTGGATGAGCACCCCACCCTGGGCAGCGCTGTGGCGTTTGCGGGACATGCTGGGCCCTGAGCAAAACCCTGCGGCCACGACGACTGGAGCGTGTGCATGTTGAACAGGGGCTGGGACCGCGTTCCGCCCTGAGGAAGGACGGCGCTTGCTTTTTTTTTTTTCTCGGTACACGGGCCTCTCACTGCTGTGGCCTTTCCCGTTGCGGAGCACAGGCTCCGGACACGCAGGCTCAGCGGCCATGGCTCACGGGCCCAGCCGCTCCGCGGCATGTGGGATCTTCCCAGACCGGGGCACGAACCCGTGTCCCCTGCATCGGCAGGCGGACTCTCAGCCACTGCGCCACCACGGAAGCCCTGCCTACCCATTCTTAAAAGGCATTTTTGGACACCGACACGCTGGCACTGAGTGTCCTCTCCTCCCACGTGGAAGAGGTTTCTGTACCCGGCCAGACGGCAGCTCAGGGCTGCTCTTCCGGGCAAGGAGAGGCCTGGGGGCGGGGGGGGGGGGCTTTCACAAAAATGATGTCTCTCCACAAACTAGCCTCTCTGCCTCCCCAGCTCCACGCAGACGGCAGACTCCTGGCAAACCCAGGGAAGCAGTGAGGCTCTGAAGCTCAGTGAGGGCCCCATTTTAAATGCGCACCAACCACGCAGAGTTGAGGCCACAACTGGTGGCAAAGGGCTCAGGGCCATCAGGGAAGCAAAGTCACATCAGATATCCGATCTCTTGGGTATCATCTCTGCTTCAGAATCAAGAGCCATCCTCCAACAAAGGAAAAGGCTGGAAATGCTGGGCGCTCAAAGATAAAGGAGGTCTGGGCATGGGGGCCAGGGCGGGTGAGCCTCCCCCAGGAGCAGACCGACTACCAGGGAGGACACAAGGGGCCACGAAGCTTGAGGCAGGGAATCTGAGCCCAAGGCAAAGGCCCAGCAGGGCCCGGGGAAGGGAAGGAAGAGGGTGGGCCAGGGTCGGGGCAGAGGCCCGGCACACAGACATGCCTCCACGGCCCCCCTCCCTGCACCCTGCCGACTCCCTTCACACCTGGTCAGGGTCAGCTCGCTGGCAAAGCTGATCTGCCAAAAATAGAACTATTTTTGCACTGCAGATGTTATTACATCCTTATAAAAGCGGATGCCAGAGGAAAACATTTTTATGTGCTGTGGTCGCACAGATGTTCCACAAGGTGGTTCCAATGGAGTCTGGAATCAGAGCGCAGCCCGCCTGTCCCCATCAAGCACCTCCGCTCCTCTCCGTGGCCCGGCGACGTGGAGGACACGGGTGAGTGTGTAGAAAGCAGGCCATTTTCCTCAAAAGGGAAAACGTGAGCAGTGCCGTGCGGCACTTTGCAGTGAGCAGAGCCCGGAGGGTGGGGACCTGCAGGAAGCCAGCCCCGTCTAACGGCTGCTGCTCTGGAGCCCTGTGGGGTGAGGGCCTTCCTTGCCTCTGCACTGCACCGGAGAACCTAATACGTGCACCAGGCCCAGAACAGCGCCTGCTAAACGGCAGCTCCACTCCCGGGACTCTCCCCGGCCTGGCTCCTCCTAGTAACTGGGCTGGGCTCCGGGTCAGAGCGCAGCTGTGAGGCCAGGACGTAACATGCTGTCAAGCCAGAAGACAGTGGTCAGACAGCCTCTCAAGGAAGGTTCGGTTTGCCCAGTTTAGGAAAAAT